AATAGTGGAAAGAAGGGGCGAGGAAAATGATTGAAGAGGCAAGAGTAACAGAAGGCAATCCAGAAATGGAGTAATAGAGGAGAGTGAAAAGTGAGATGAGCAAAAGAAACATGAGATGCGGAAACCAGGAAAGTTGAAGAAAGCGAAAGAAGGAATGTCTAAAAGAGAGAAGTGGAGAAGTGGTCGAGCAAGCACGACGGAGTGGACGCTAAACAAAGAACAAGGGTGGAGACAGAAAGGAGAGAATGCTCAAGATGGGAGGTGGCGGAGCTGTGTATGAATCATGACTTTGTGCAGATTAGCTCTACGTTCTTCTTTCCCATTGAAAAATCATCTTAATTTTTCTATCTACTGATTTTTTATGGACAAGGTTTGGGTGTTACTCTGAACCAAACGGTGCCACATCTGCCTAGCACGAGGGGCATCGTTGATGGTACAGGCAAAATATAACACCTTTTGGGAGCTCTTGAAGCAAAACTCGACAACTAAGAACAAGAACGCTCTGGTATTTGAACCCAATCAGCCAATCTTAGGGCTGGCCAAAAATCTGATTACTGAAAATCTACACATCTGATTTTCAGCCCACGATGACTACTACGCCTTGCCATAGATATTCCCACGCTGGCAAAGCTCCAACTAGCCAGTGTGCACGACTATGTGGAAACAAGTCAATCTAGAAGCAAAAAACTAACCATTCCGACAAATGCCTTGATGCTGACAGATGCTCGGCACGACAATCTCACAAGTTGTGCCAATGTAACCTTCCGGGCAACGGCAAGTGAAGTCACTGCTGATGCCGCCATTCGTGCAGACACCTCCATTTTGGCAAGGCTGGTGTCGAGTACAGTACTCAAGGTCTAGAACAGTAATCATGAAGTAAAAAGACAGAAAGGGACAAAGAGCCAATTCTTCCCAGCCAGTCATGAAAGAAGAAAAAAGGGGTGAGAAAAATAACGAGAAAATCAGAAGCAGCTTTGAGAAGATTCAGAACTAAGCAAAAGAAGCACATCAATTTCGCTTTCCATGCTTTCATTATTTCGTCAGGCATCCTGGCCATGGCACCTTTCTAACAGTAATGCAACAC